GAAAATGTTTACTTTGATGGGTGTTGACAAATGTATAGAGGGTGGGCATAGGAATTTTTATTTCCCACCGTATTCCCTTCTTTCCTGATTTATTTTATTTAATAGGACTGCTCAACTAATCAATTCCCTTTGCTCCGATTCCACACTCACCATGTAACTTCTGGATGCAATTTTGCCTACATGGAGAGAAAACGATGAGCAGCAAACATGATCATCTTGTGCTCCTGACAACTCTAGTTTTCACTGTAAAATGTTTTAAAAGGATGTTTTTTTAAAAAAGGATTTGGATCATGAAAAGCAAATAGACATTCATTTTAATTAATTTTCCTCTTGTAAACCCCAGGTTGAGTACTATTACTGGATAAAGGCAGTGGAAGCTACCAAGGAAAGTGAGTCAGAAAGGAAAGTTCCTGGTGCTCGTGAGGGCGCCAACTGAATCAATGGGTTATAATTTCACTGTAATTTTCCTCTTGTTCCACCCTTGTTGAGGTGACTCACAAGCTATAAACATTCTTGGGCAATTATTTCAGGATGGCTTTGTTAGCGTTTGAAAGAAAACATCTTTACTTTTTCTTTTAAAAATCAGCTTTATTGAGGTATATTTCATATATAATAAAATCCACCAGTTTGATGAATTTTGACAAATGTGTATGATCATGTAACCATGACTACCATGAGGATATCATTTTCCATCTCTCTAGAAAGTTTCCTTTTGCCCTTTTGCAGTTAATCCTATAACCTTGCTAAATTTATTCATTCTGTTAGCTTTTTTTTTTTTTTTTTTTTTCTTGGTAGAGCCTTTGGAGTTTCTGCATAGACACTCATACTGTCTTTGAATAACGAGAGACTTGCCAGGCATGGTAGCTCATGCCTGTAATGCCAGCACTTTGGGAGGCCGAGGCCTCCAAAAAGTGTTTTTCCCACACCACTTACCTAACATCCAAGTTTATTATAGTTATTTGTTTGTTGCCCCTCACTGGAAAATAAGCTCCATAAAAACAAGACATTTTGTGTGTTTTGTTTCCTGCCACATTCCCAGTGTCTAGGACAGTGCCTGGCACATTGTGGTGCTCAGTGAATAGTTACTAAATGAATGAATGAATGGTTTCATCACCATATCTGCCGGTCTGTTTGTACCTGTACCCACAGCTTTACCTGCCCTCCCATTAATCCTTTTCTCTCTCAAGTCCAGCTCTTCCTCTTGTTCTCCTGGCCCCTTCCTCTCCCCCTTCTCATCACCTTGGCTTCTGTTATTCCTTTTCACCCTCCGTCTCTCTGTTTCCACAATGGACTGTCTTCCATCTCGGAAAACAAGAATTTTCCTTTGACACCACATCCTCCCGGAGCTCTACCTCCATTTCTCTGTTCTAGTTTATGATTTAGCTTCTCAAACAGGCTGTCTACATCCTCTGTCTACCTCTCTAACCTCTTCTCTGACCACTCCTCCCCTGACTGAGTATGCTCTAGTTGCCTTGATGTTCTTTCTGCAGACCAAGCCTTCCCACCTTAAGGCTTTCACTTGCCTTCCCCTCAGCACCCCACCTAGCTGCCTTAGTTGCAGAGTAAATACCAAAGTCTGCGCATTGGCCAATGCAAGTACTTTCCACCTTATAGCATTTATAGGACTTAGACTTATCATAGTGTAATTATCTTATGCGAATATTTATGTTAGCTCCATGAGAGCAAGCATCTTGTTTTGTTCACTGCTGTATTTCTAGGGTTTGCTGGTGACCGGAACAGTCCATTAAGTGATGAATGAATGAGTGTATGAGTTTCCAGTGATGAGATGACTTAAAGCTAGCTGCTGATATATGCAAATAAATGCATGCACGGTACTGCCCTTAGAAGCATTGTTCTTTTTTTTTTTTTTCTTTTTGAGACTGAGTCTCACTCTGTCACCCAGGCTGGAGTGCAGCAGCACAATGATGTCTCACTACTTGGACCTCCCTGGCTCAAGCCATCCTCCCACCTCAGTCTCACGAATAGCTGGGACTACAGGTCCATGCCACCGTGCCTGGCTACAGAGTTTTACCATGTTTCTCTCTCTAGGTTATGATCCAGATATTTTGAAGGCCACTGTCCCAGGCACAGTCTCGCCAGCCTCCTGTCCCTCCCTGCCTGCTCTTTTATAAAACTACTGGCCTATGGGCAAAGTACTTCTCCTTGTGAAACTGGAAAACATTGCTCTTTGTTTTTAAGTCCCATCAAGCATGATTTCCATAAAACTCCTTCGCTCATCTCCAGGTGATTAGCAATGAGTTACACAAACCTTTTTCACAGCCTCTTTTCTTTCTTGTAAGCTTCTGAAAGGACTGCCCATTGCCTTACTCATTTTTGTAACTTCAGTGCTTAACATAGTAAACTAATGAAGGTTTAATAAATAGTCATGCACTGCATAATGATGACCTGCATGTATAACGGTAAGATTACAATGGAGCTGAAAAATTACTATTGCCTAGTGATGTCATAGTGTAACACATTACTCACGTTTGTGATGATAATGATAAATGGCTATTACTGATTTATGCATTTACTATACTATACTTTTAATCATTGCTATAGGGTGTACTTTTTTTCTTATAAAAAATAGTTAACTGGGTTTGGCCTGGTGACTCATGCCTGTAATCCCAGCACTTTGGGAGGCTGAGGCGGGAGGATCACCTGAACTTGGGAGTTCAAGACCAGCCTGACCAACATGGAGAAACCCCATCTCTACTAAAAATACAAAATTAGCAGGGTGTGGTGGCGCATGCCTGTAATCCCAGCTACTCTGGAGGCTGAAGCAGGAAAATCTCTTGAATCTGGGAGGTGGAGGTTGTGGTGAGCTGAGATCGTGCCATTGCGCTCCAGCATAGGCAACAAGAGCAAAACTCCATCTCAAAAAAAAAAAAAAAAAAAAAAGAGTTAACTGCAAAACAGCCCGAGGCAGGCCCTTCAGGAGGTATTTGAGAAGGCACTATCAGAGGAGATGACAGCTCTTTGTGTGTTATTGCCCCTGAAGTCCTTCCCGTGGGACAAGATATGGAGGTAGAAGATAATAATATTGATAACCCTGAAGCTGTGTAGGCCTAGGCTAATATGCGTGTTTGCATCTTAGTTTTTAATGAAACAGTTTAAAAAAATTAAAAATTGGCCAGGCGCGGTGGTTCAAGCCTGTAATCCCAGCACTTTGGGAGGCTAAGGTGGGTGGATCACGAGGTCAAGAGATCGAGACCATCCTGGTCAACATGGTGAAACCCCGTCTCTACTAAAAATACAAAAAAAAAAAAAAAAAAAAATCAGCTGGGCATGGTGGCACCTGCCTGTAATCCCAGCTACTCAGGAGGCTGAGGCAGGAGAATTGCCTGAACCCAGGAGGCGGAGGTTGTGGTGAGCCGGCGGAGGTTGTGGTGAGCCGAGATCATGCCATTGCACTCCAGCCTGGGTAACAAGAGCGAAACTCCATCTTAAAAAAAAAAAAAAAAAAATTAAAAATAGAAAAAAATCTTATAAGTTATTTTTGTACAGCTGAGCAATGTGTTTGTGTTTAAAAATAAAGTGTTATTATAAAAGAGTCAATCATACCCTTGAAGTCCCAGCTACTTGGAGGCGGGGGACTGAAGTGGGAGGATAGCTTCAGCCTGGGAGGTGGAGGCTGCAGTGAGCCATGATCGTGCCACTGCACTCCAGCCTGGGTGACAGAGTGAGACCCTGTCTCAAAAAAAAAAAAAAAAAAAAAAGGCAAAAAGTTTAAAATATTAAAGTTTATACTCTAAAAAATGTACATAAGCCAAGGTTTATTATGGAATAAAACATTTAAAATAAATTTAGTGTGGCCTAGGTGTACAATATTTATAAAGTCTACAGTAGTGTAATGGCCTAGATCTTCACATTCACTCACCATTCACTGGCTTAGCCAGAGAAACTTCCAGTCCTGAAAGCTCTGTTCATGGTAAGGGACTGATGCAAGTGTACTATTTTTAATCTTTTATACCATAATTTGACTGTAGCTTTTCTATATTTAGATACACAAATACTTACCAGTGTATTAGAATTTGCCTACAGTATTCAGTACTACACAGGTTTGTAGCCTAGGAGCCACAGGCTACAGCATCTAGCCTAGGTGTGCAGTAGGCTATACTACCTAAGTTTGTGTAAATACACTCTATGATGTTCTCACAGTGATGAATCCCCTAACAACTCTCCGACTGTATCCCAGTCATTAAGCAATGCATGATTGTTGAATGAGTTGTTTTTTTTTTTTTGGAGACGGAGTCTGGCTCTGCAGCCCAGGTGGGAGTACAGTGGCATGATCTCAGCTCACTGCAATCTCTGCCTCCCAGTTTCAAGTATTCTCCTGCCTCAGTCTCCTGAGTAGCTGGAATTACAGGGGAGTGTCCTACGCCTGGCTACTTTAAATGTATTTTTAGTAGAGACATGGTTTCACCATGTTGGCCAGGTTGGTCTCGAACTCCTGACCTCGTGACCTGCCAAAGCAGGCCTCCCAAAGTGCTGGGATTACAGGTGTGAATCACTGCGCCCAGGCAGGCTCATGGCTTTAATCCCAGCACTTTAGGAGGCCAAGGTGGGCGGATCATGAGGTCAGGAGTTCCAGACCAGCCAGACCAACATGGTGAAACCCCATCTCTACTAAAACTACAAAAACTAGCCGGGCATGGTGGTATGCGCCTATAATCCCAGCTACTCAGGAGAGTGAGGCAGGAGAATCACTTGAACCCGGGAGGCAGAGGTTGCAGTGAGCCAAGATCATGCCATTGCACTCCAGCCTGGGTGACAACAGAGTGAGACTCTGTCTCAAAAAAAAAAAGGGCATGAGCCACCGTGCCCAACCAATTGTTGAATGAGTTCTGAGGTCACTTAGCTGCTATTTACTTTTTAAACACTGGAAGCCTCTTAATGTAAAAGTTTAAAACACATTCTTTCTATCACATGGCCAGGTTGCAAAGAAGCAAAAAGGAAAAAACAAAAACAAAAACATAAAAAAACAAAGAAAAAAAACATTCTGTTAAAACTTGCAATTTAGTGAACTGTTACTCACTACAGTTATACTCACTTTACATTCAAGTGAAAAAGGAAATAGCCAGGAGAGTAATTCATCTCCAGAAAGCAGTTTAAAATTATTTATTATTTTTATTTGCTACCAATATTTTTATTGTAAGAATTACAAAAGGCATGACAAAATACAAACTATTTTCTCTTTTTGCTTCATTCAATTTAACTTTCACATAAGTGAACACATTGGATAATGATATTTCAACACCAATTTTTGAAAAAAACAATGGATTTTACCATCTGACAATAAATACCTAAATTTGCATTCTAGCACCCAGTAAGACATCCAGTTTCCAAAGGATTATTGGTATGCAGCCCTCTGAATTTTCTGACATGTTACCTTTGCCACTGCAACAGAATCACTACTGCAGTTCTCCCTCTCCCAATAAATCAGAGTAAGGGGCAGGCAAGAATGGCTATCTGACTTCAGAAACCCAGGGTCATAAAGCATCCCTTACTTGAGCTACTTTTAAAAACACATTTTTAATGATAGGGTATGTAACAAAAGTTTTGGTGGTCCTTGACTGACATATTTTACGTTACATATTTACCTTCTTTTCTATTCTCCCCCTCAGATGAGAAGGGTCTAGATAAACTGGCCTATATTTTCATTGGCCTCTTGGGAAGGGAGCAAGAACACTTAGCTCAGAGCACTCTAAAGACAGTAGCCTTAGAGATAAGCTTTCTTTCTTTCTTATTCTTTTGCTTCAAGAGGGCTTTCTGTGCGGAATGGAGGGATGGTTGCTAGAGTGAGAAAGCCCTTCCCCTCTTGCTATGTCTATACCTGAGGCCATTTTTCTTAGAGGGCAAAAATGTTAGAATAGGTAGGAGGATCCTTGCTTTCAGAGAGCTGTGCTGTACCCACAGGGTGGACCTGACAGGCCAGTGTGGTAAATCTCAATCTTGTGTACAAATAAAAGAGAAGAAGCAACATCTGATGCCAAGTCACCTGCCAACATTCTTAAAAGACTGTGTTCCAGGCAGTGAATTTCCATACTGCTTCTTGGGTCTGCAGAACTCAAAGCACCAAAACAGAGCCTTCTGTAGCAATATAAGCAAACGGAATAAGAATAATTATGCACCTTTAAGGAACATGCACCCTTATAAGTCTGTACCCTGATATGAAAATAGCAGAATGAGTTTCAAGTATGAAGAAATACAGTAAAAGTATGGCCTGTAGGTGGAGAGAAAACAGCAGCCTGGAATGTGGTGTATATTTTTGTTTAGTTTTTCTCTTGGTACCACAGCCAAAACTGAATGCTCTGTACAATGACTTGGTTTAAAAATCAAGATGCATACAAAGATGCTAGAGGCATTTCTAATGGGTGCCATGAGCAAAGTCTGTGCCCAGCATCAGGAACCATCTCTTGATGAACCTGGCTAGCCAGAGGTCAAGTTAGGAGTGGTGGCCAGGCCTAGCCAGGCACAGCTGTGGTCCCTGGTGTGGAGGAGGATGGAGAGCACCATGTGGACAGGCCAGGATGGTGGCAGGGAGCACTTTAGTGGTAGAGAGGAAGAGATGCAGGGGACAGGGATGCAGAGGTGTGGGGATGTTGGTCATCTTGGGCTGGTTCACACGGCCTAGATTAGTATCTGATACACATAATTTCTACATTTCTAGAACTGTGATTTCAAACACAGCAATTAACAAGTCAAAATTTCCAAATTAAGAATTTTTTTTTTTTTTTTTTTTTTTTTTTTTACTTTCAAAACACTTTCTATCATAAGTCAGAAGGAAAAAAGCTTACTGTATATGACACAGTAAGGTTTCTGAAACCTAGTAGAAAGCTTTAACCAGGCCCTATGGCAATGCAGAAACACTAACACATTTTACAGTGAAAACCTACTTTAACACATCTTACAATGACAATCCTATAAAACTCTCTAGTTCTAATTTGCACTCTACGGGAACCAATATTGTTCTTTTCTTAACACATACTGCTTTTCTATACCAAACACTTGCCCTTTAACCTTCAGATCAAAACCTCAAATACCCAAAAAAATGCAACAAGCTTTTGAGGCGTTGGGAATTGTTGGTTGCTATAATAACTTTGTCGGTTATTATACAGGCAATCCTTGCTTTTTATTACCGGGCTGGATTGCTTCTGTATACAGCCAAGTTGCCTGAAGCATGGAAACTTGGACTTCTCCATCTGACACGTTCTGGAAGCCTCAAGGCACAAGCTGACAGTTCTGCTTCTACAGAAAAACTCTCACACTGCTCTCCTCTCAACAGTATTGCCTGTTCCCACTACTGCACATGACACCTACGAGGGCACAAATCACGTGAAGGAAGCTTCTTCATGAGGCCGGACAAGAGGAGGCACCACCTAGGCACCACTCTCTGCCTGGCATGTACTCCGAGAGCCACCTGGCACAGTTCCTAAATTAAGACATATCTGAAATGCTTTTCTACCTTTAGTTTTTATTTTTGCTGTATTTTCACAATCTATTATATGCATACTTAATAAAAACAACTACAAAGTACTTTAATTCCTTTACTTAATGATAAAACATCTAGATACCCAAAATACTACATCTATAGATTCAAACCTACTAATAATGTTAAAAATGCATGCAGCTTATTTGGGGGCTTAGTCTAATTTTTACTTTCTTAGCTCCATCAAGACCATGACAATGAACGTTAAATGCAAGTTCTAACACTTTCTGCCTTCAGTTGTACTTTCACAGGACTAGTGTGATTCAGAAATAAATAATATACATGAATAATAATAGAAATAATTTATGCAAATGTAGAACAACTTGAAAAATATTCTCCACCTGTGAGGTGCTGTTCCTGGGGGTAGCTGATGCTATAAGTTCCATGTACTAACTAATATATTTACTACAGGTTAATAGGAAAACAAATGAATAAAAAGGAGCTATGAGATACATGTATATATTGTTGCGAATACAAGATCAGAATGAAAAGATATACCATGCACTCGGAGATTCAAGAAATGCACTACCGCTGGAATCTGTTTCATTATTCAGACTTTAAAGTCAAACTGAGAGTTGCTGGTGATCACAGAAATATTGCTAGCTGATACATATTATTGCATTTCATAAAACTTAAAATTAGAAACTTTCAAGTAAGGGTACAACGGGTATCTTCAGAACTTTAACCTAAGCACATCAACGGAATTTGGCTAGGAACCACAGAGAGTTAGAAATTAAATAGCTGTGTGGCTCGACGTTTGCTGATTAGTGCTATAGTCATAGTTCTTGGCAGTCAGTCTGTACAGTTACATGTCCCCTTTGAGAAAAACCTACATTTGACAATCCAAACTCCTAAAATTGAGAAAGTGTTGTGTGACCAAAGCCACACAGAAGATTCCTCTCAACATGAAAATCCCCTGCTACATGAGATAATGTTTACATACCTTTAATTACCTGACAAAGAAAAGAAAAGAAACTGATAGCTAAAGAATTAGGAGCTTTTGCCAACTGAAGACAAAGCAGAAAATAAACACCTTTTCAAAAAGAAAAAAAAAAAAAAAACTTTTCCAGGCATATCTTTCACTATCACATATGTAGAATGATGGAAAATAAAAAAATAAAAAAAAAATCTTTCCTGCAAGTATACATCTTTTCTTAAAAAAACAAAAACAAAAACAAAACACAAAAACTGAGCTTAGCGCCTGAGAGATGCGGGGTAGACAGCTTCGCACACAGCAGCTGCTACAGCATCTCTTTTTACCCGAACTTTCGGAGAATTGTGTTGTACATGCACAGAAGACACCCGTTTGCTTCTAGGGACATTTTTCTTCCTAAGATTTGCAGAACAGGTGCCTCTGAGACAGCAGCAGGGCACTCTGACCTCGGACAGCAGCCCGCAGAGCCGCACATCATTTCAGACACCAGTAGGTGAGCGGGAGGCGGGGCCCCAGCCGGCCACGCCCACTGCCACTCCTGCCGAAGGGGCAGGGCCACGAGGCAGCGCACCCGGAAGGCTTTCAAGTGGGAGTCAAGTTTTGAACACGAGCAAATAGAGTTAAGACTGGCCACTGATAACAAACCCGGGGGTGAAATTCGGCCTTTCACATGGGGGCTTTAACTGGACTCTAGTTCTTGGGAGCAGAGGAGCAAATGAGGCGGGGGGATTTCTCTGTGGTCTTCTGACTGCCTCTAGTGTATGTGGCACTTTGGTTCAGTATGAATTACTGAGACTCATCTGCTTGCCACTCTGGAGGAAAGTTGGGCACGCACCGTCGAGTGTCTGCCACTCAGAAGGAATAATCTGCTTTCTGTGGTGCTGTGCTAAGGAAACTGAAAAACACTGCAACGTCCGTCCCTACTAAATTTCAAGTGACACTGTTGTGAGGAAGGTGACTCCTAAAATTAATCATTTGGGGGATAAGGAGTACTTAAGTAAACTTGTGAATTTAAACAAATCTCTGTATAAAGTTGCCAAAAAACTTCAAAAGTGAAGAAAATACATAAGTAGACACACTCCTATGTTATGCTCATATTTAGATTTTTTTTAAAAAATTAGAGTTACTTATGAATTTACATTTGTGATTACACAAACGTAAAAAAATCACAAGGTCTTTTGGTATTTTAGGGCTCTGTTTCAATATACCAATTCTTCAGACAAAAGTTTTGTTTACCGAATTACTGATGTGTTATTTATTTTGCTCACCTGATCTTTAAATTAGGATTTTAAACTTTAATCAGTGTTGAAAGGCCACCATGCTAGTGAATGTGAAAGCAGCAGAGAGGGTATGTATGTTATAACTGGGGCCACCAAAGGAGTTTTATACTTCTAATGAAACTATCCTGTTCACAGATGAGGGCTGCCTTTTTAGTAAGAAAGCCTATTTTACTTTAGAAAAGTAAGGTAATTAGGTACCTCAAAAAATGTTTCTTGACTAAATGACATGACTATGCTTTCTTTACTTAAATGGTCAAAATGAGTGTATTATCCATCCTTAAGCACAATTCATTTGCAGACAACTGTTCAGAACCTAGATAACAAGTAAAATAATGAAGTTACAGAACATTATAAAGACTAGTAATCACCCCAAAAAAACAAATGCTAGGAAACAGTTAAATATGTGCAGAAAAATAAAGTTAGAATGAAATCTCTTTTAGAAGTAACTCTTTAGTATTCATCGAATTTGTTTTTCTCTAAAAGTGGCATCTTGTGGAATATACTGGAATAAAACAAGAAAGCTCATCTCTTAGGACAGTGTAAATTTTTAGAAAGACTTTTGCCAAGAAAGCCACCTTCTTTTCCTACCATATTAACTTCAAATTACTGTAATAATATTTCAATAGATGCTCGAAAAGAGCCTGTATTTATTTTCAGGTGGTTCTTCTTTTCTTCCTAAGGCTAGACAAGGTAACAATATGTTGAAGGAAATCCACTTCTACTCATTTATCTAAATGTTATAACTTCCTGGGAATGCTAAGAAATAGAAAGCATTTTGAAGATCTGATTGGTACTTCATTAAGAAAATAAACAAAAATCCCCAGAAAGACTAGTCGAGAAAAAACATTCACAAATTGGATCCCTTCTGTTTCTACATTTCTGTTGCTTACAAAGGTCAGAAGAGAGAGAGGCCAAAGGACTATTTTTGGTTTATTTTCTGAAAAAGTACGAGATAGAAATGCTTGAGATATAGTTATGTATTAAAATTGGGTTGTGAATTGCATTGATATAGAAAGGAAGTCAGTAAGAAATGAAAATGCTAGTTTCTCATGCTTTTGAGGAAAACGGCATTTATAATTATTCTGAGGACTTAATTTCTTGGCAGGCTTTGGTAGCCTCAATAAGTTTTTCCACTGTGGAGAAGGAACATGTAAATATCTTCCTAATTATATACCCAAATGTACTTAATGGACATGATAAATGGTTTTGGGTAGTAATGTTCACTATTTTTCAAAAGTATTGGTGGCATAGGAAACACATGCCTTTGAAAAATTTATTTTTATTTTTTCAATGAACATTCTTAGGCATGTGTAAGAAGTACTGCTTGATGTGGCTGCCTCTTCCCTTGAAATGAGAAAAAAAGTACAGATGATTTCGTTTTGCTTGGAACAGTTTCTTCATAAAATTTGTTTTTGACCATATTAATCCCACAGTTGCCAGATGACCTTAGTATAAATTCTTATACTTTTTTTATAAAGAATTTTTCATAAGAATTTGTTCATAAAGAATATATCCCTCAAAATCTATATAACTTTGAAACTACCCTTTAAATACTTTCATTTTCTCCAGAATTTCCTTTATTTATTGCCCACTGTTTTATAATTTTTAAAGCCTTAGAAATCGTATACCTTTTTCTGTCACAATGTGAAACATGCATTCTTTTGAATTATATAAATATCTAAGAGTTTATAATAATATTCCAATATTTTCTTTCCAAGGTAAATATTCTGCAGTTTCTATACTAACATAATTAAGTAATTATGGTGGCATGTTAACTTTTAACATTATTTTTTCCTAGACCCAATTATGCAATAAAAGCCTGCTTTTGGAAAATGTGAGACACTCTCATGTGCTTATCATAAGAATAGTGAAATTGTCTAACACAGAATTTTAATATGTTTATGATATTAGGAAGCTTATGTAATTTAATTTCCACAATGGAACAATAATTGCCATTACTGACTTTAATAGGCACCACTTTTAAAGGAAGCAGCTACAGTTTCTTAAACACTCACTTTAAATGCATAATTTAAAATTCAAAATGTTCGGTACTATTTAAGAGTTTTCTCATCAAGATGGATAGTACCACATTCTGGAGTCAAACTATAAATTTCTCTATGGAAGAGAAACATGCTTTCTTTGAGATAGGAACATCTTATGCATTCTAAAGCTTTCATGTTGAGATTCTATTCTTAGGTGAATAATTTTGAACTATTTTTAGTAAGTCACCTGGGGCTAAATTAACATTCACAGTGTGTGCTTCCTAAGAGAAAATCATGAGAATAGAGGGGGCCGAAATGGCCCCAAGCTTTCTTCCAAAACAGATTCTTTGCACCTTGAGTTCCCATCCACTTCAAAGAAGGGACAAAGTGGGAGGCTCCAACCCATTGGGTTCTTATGCTTGGAAACTGTGTTTTTAAGATTAGGTCCTTTTTATTACTCTTTGCCGTGGGATTTCTTATGAAAGCTAAACGGACAGATTTCTCTGTTTTCCTTTTTATATGTAGGTTGTTTTGACTCCACCCTGTGCAACAGTTCCCAAAATGTCTGGGCCACCAGAACTCTAACATCAAACAGAAACTAGCAGGCACATCCTTGTTCTGGTCCTACTGTGAAATTCAAACATGATTTCAAATCTGTCACAATATTTTTACTTGTTATGAGCTGCTTCAGTGTAACCTTGGGGCAGTATGCCCGTTTCAATTAACCGCTGCCTAGCTTTTGGCAAAGATGTTTAAAACCATATATTACAGAAGAATAAGCTGTAGTCACTAAGTTCTTACTCTACTATCTGCTTCAAAATGCCCTAATGGCAATTTGTGTTGGATTTGGATTTCAGAAATGGTGAATCTGGACATAAAATACCTAAGTCAAGAGGATATTCACTCAAATGCAATAACTACAATGATGCAAGAGCTGGGGACAGATTTTTACAAAGTTCGGACAGGCTGAGAGATGCCCTTTCATCCTGTGTCATCAGAAGATAATTTACCAACAATTGAATGCCAGAATGTTGGTGCTTTAATTTTTCTTTACAAGCACTGCCTAGAAATGAGACAAAAGCAGATGCTAGAAATAAAAGTTGAGCTCTCTACTCATTTAAAATTCTAAAGAATGCTGAAAAATTCCAGTTCAGAACAGCTGCATTTTTCTTGAGTGAACTTATGAAAACATTTTTACAACAGCAAAAACTAAAGCTATGTTCACTCTAGCCATGAATACTAACCAAAAAGCTCAGGATGAATCAGTGCAGTGAGTTTTAAAATTCAATTTCTAGGCCCCAGCAAAACTGTCTTTGTATTCTGACCCTCAATCAAAGGAAAGGCAGAATTCACTTTTCCATGTGAGACTTCGAGTAGACCTGACCTTGAATGCTGTGGATTTATTATGTCTCAAGCATTTATAATGCTGACAACATGTAACCAGTGTTGTCACAATGGAAGTAGAAAACATGTGTATGGCCCATCTTCTTTATTATCTTCCTTTAGAAAACAATTTCCTGTTCCTTAAGCTACTGAATTAGAACAATGTTAAACAATACAGCAATTAAAAAAGAATAGTTCCCAACCCCAAAAGCTCTTCAGGAGAAACATCTAGTTTTTTCTCTTGTCAAGATAGTCATATAACATATTAAGCTGCAAAGTATTCAGTACAACTTGATAATGCATAAATATCATCTGAATTATTTTCTGAGTGTCGCAACAACCATTCTTGGAAAATCCTAATTCTAAACATGATCTAACTGTTGCATGCACTCTGAACTTGAGTCAGAAAGCACAGGTGGCTAAATTTCCCAAAAGATACTTTCTATGTCTTCTGGTTACTAGAGCCAACTGAGCACTAAACCACTTATAAGGCAGAGATGGTGTGAAATATAAAGGACTGTAGAGAAAACAGTAGGAGAAGGAGGAAAAGCTGTTTACAATGCCCAGGCCAGGCTGGCTCTGTAGAGAGCAGGAGTGAGCACAAGGCACTAGAAACAAGCACAGCCTGGGGGATGGAGAAAGATCATTTGATTAGAGTAACATACCCCTGAAACATGGCTAAAGACATACCCTCAGATAAAGACACTGACAATATCTTCTATAAAAATATAAAACACAAAGTAAGAGTTTATAGCAATTTATGTGCTGGTGATAAAATAAAACAAGATCCTACTCATTGTTTAGGTAACAAAAGTGAACACCAGCTAGAAGGACTGCATTAGAGTGAGAACATATGGGACCCTGTTAGGTTTGCAGAATTGAGGCCATAAACCATAATCTGAGACTGTGAACTTATGGAAGGTTCATTGAAAGCAAGCTAACAGGTGGTGCATGGAGACAGCTTAAGCAATCTGTTACTGGTTATACAGTGGTAGCAATATATTTCAGAAGTGCTGGGAGATAGACAGGATGGATACTTTGCTATCAAGGCAGTGTGTGGCAGAAAGTACAGTGTAATAGATGAGGAGAATGTAAAGGTCACTCCTGTCTCTAGTTAGAGTGAGAACTACTCTCCAAACCAAAACAGGAAACAATATCTGACACATTCCTAAAAACAAAAACCAAATAACAACAACAACAACCACGACTGAGAAAAAAAAAAAAAAGGAAAAAAAAAAAAAAAGGTAAAGGAAATAAAGGAATTTCAAACTAGGAAATATAGGCTATTTTTTAAAACCTATCTGAGGTACACTCCCTAAATCTATAGCAAGTAATAAAAAGCTTATAGGGTATTTTCCAAAAGAAATATTGAAGCACGATTATCATATAGAAGGTTAAAACAGACTTAAAATAAGTAAATTCAGCATTTTGAAGACTAAATAGAATGCATGCACATCTCTTAAAATATACTAGAATTTTTTATCCTTTTTGCTGTGTATATAAAACTTCATCTTTTACTGCTAGCAAATTTACTGCTTTTGGCCAGAAAAGAAATGCTGAGGACAAGGGCTTTACTTTCTGATCTGAGAACACCATTTTGGTGAATCACCTTCAGTGAACAAATGACTGTTATTTACCGGTCACCTTGAGTCTTTAAAATTCAATTATTCTTGTTGTTTATAGAAAGTAACACTTTAAGAGATCACAGAATCTCTCTCTCTCACACACACATATGCACACACACACTCAAAAGTACCAAATCAGGCCCGGCAGCTGCAGAGAGATTACATCATAACTCAGCTGTGCCTGGATTACCCACTCCACACTGGCAGCATTCAAGGTTAGAAAAATGAAATGGCAGCACAATTGGTCAGCAGCTTCTCTTCTGGAATTTTTCCAGGTTCTTGAAACAAACAGACAAACAAACAAACAAATGAACATAAAGCTGCAATCACTCTTGCATTGATTTCAAAATAGTAAACTAGGCGGTTTCCTTGGAGAAGCAGAGCCTGTCCAGAAGACAGCAGCTGGAAGGCCTCCAGACAGCAATTCTCCACAGCTCTGTAGGGCTTGCTCAGGGGGACCCAGAAGCCACCAAGGGTGTTCTCTGCAGGATCAGCTTAAGGCAGCTGCTGAAACCTCAGGCTGTATTCATCTCCGAGGTGTTCTGGCTGGGAGGCAGGTGGGAATCCAGGCTTTCTCTGCACCTCTCCAGGTCCTGGAAGTATGGGTGAGACAGGGCGCTGTAGGCAGATATTCTTTTGGCTGGGTTAAATGTCAAACACTTCTGTAATAAAGAAAAAAATAATTGGTTGATACAGAACATATCAACGTAAATAATGTACTTACAGAGTTATCCTTTTTTTCACTACCATGTGTTAAGTGCATCTAGACTGGGAATGAATATTTATTTAAAGGGACACTAACTAATATAGAGACAGTACTCATATATATCCCTAATGTATAAAATGCCCCTCAGAAGACGACCCTTTAGGTGCCTATGGACTGTTTCTTGCCCAGAATTTCCCTCTAAGCCATTAAAGTACGCATATAACTTTATTTAGTAATACTTACAGTGCTAGTAAACTTAGTGCTACAGTCAGAGACTTCAATGTAACTTCTTACCCTGTCCCAAGGCTACATCACGCAGAGACAGGGATGTCTTCCTTCTAATTCATATCAAGGTGCCACATGGCTAGCAGTAGCTCTCCCAGGAGACCATTAGCTTCGGTTTGAGTCACTAAACTCTATTCCATACGGACAGCTCAAGAGTAGGGTTACCAAAGGTGAATGAGCTGGTGGCTGCACTTAATAGGCTCCTGGTCCTGGTCAAGTGGTTTGGGCAGTTTGGCTGGGCTACTAAGGTAGAAGGTGAAAGGAGAGAAAGGAAAACCTTTGCAGTAGCAACAATCTCTATTCCCAAACTGTCCATACCTAAATTAGTCTGAATGTGTCCCTAATCTCAGTCTCATTTCCTTCCACCCCTACCTCAGGTAATCTTGTTCCTCAAATCCTCTTCCTCACCTTCCATCAACACCTCCTGCTGGGTGCCAAGCAGGTGGCAAGCACTAATTAATGATGAGTAAGACCTCTTCAGGGCTTCTCCATCCTAAAGTGCACTGGGTATATGAAATGTCTATGCATTCCAGTCATCTATGTCATTTACAGACTTCATGTTATTATGGTTAATGGAAGACCTCTTCCACTTAAGAGGTCTGCATAACCATGATATTAATAGGACTGCTGCTCACAATGCTAGTCAGGTTCTGACTGGATTAGGGACCTCTCTTATATTCTACTGAAAGCTACTGATCTAGGAAAACAAATACAAACAGAAAGTTCCACATTTCCTTGGGTCCTCTGAAATCGAACTTATCCTGAGCTCTCCATCAGTCCATGGTGCCTAGCCTCCCTATAGGATCTTCTGAACACCAAGAGCTAAAAGGGGCATGTAGAAGAAACAGCTTGTTTGTAGAATGGTTCCAACCGTCTCTAACAGCAATAAACATCTCCAGAAAAGCTTTGCAAAGGCTGAATTCCCAAAGGGTGGGAAAGCAGGGGCAAAATTCTTGAGCCCGAGTTCTCTTTTCCAAGAGTCTAAGAAGAAAATGAGTGGCGTTAGAAAAGGAAGCAGTTAATTCAATCTCCAGGACATAGGAAAGAAGAGAAAAGAGCTGTGGGAATATGCTTACGATAGAGACACATGTCTCTAGAGGATTATGTGAGAATAAGCCCTTTCCTCACAGCTACACTGATGGCTTAAAGCTGGGAAGGGGGTGGAGAGAAGGCGAATGCCTTAGCCAAGTGTGGGGATGCGGGAGAATCTCAAGTTGGAAGTCCTAATACATATTGTCCTATAAAAATATAGTTAAATAAAGGTGTTTAAGTTCTATTATTGCTCTACTTCAGAAACAAGTAGAGCTGGCTTGAGAACTACTTCAAACACCTTATGTTAATAATATTGTTTTTGGAAGAAAATTTAATTTAATTGCCAAATAGTTTACTTATAAAATGAGCTTCTGGAATCACAACTTAGTCAAGAGTTGGATACTATGGTAGATCAGATAACTTTTAGTAAATATTCTCTTTTTTCTCTCCCCTCTCACCATAGGGGGAGCATCCTTTCCTCCACTAAAGTTGGCCTTAGGCATGGAACTTGCTTCAGCCAATGGAACATGGGCAGAGTGGTGGATGCTTCTCCCAAGTATGGGCCTTTGGGGGCATTGTATGCTTCTGCTTGCCCTTCTGGAGCATCCACCTTCTACATGAGAAAAACATGCCCCAGGGAGCTGCTGCCTCTCTGGAATGGGCCCCAGAATGAGATACATGGAGAAAACCTGTACTTTACCCACAGGCAGAAGCAGATATCAAAGGCTGTTAATTCAGGAGGTAGAGGATACACTCATTACTCATTGGGTTTCAGACATCAAGATCAACCCAATAGGTACACTCTTCTACCTATTGTTCTGGCCTCCAAGTACAGGAAATTATGTATACGGTTGAGTATTATGAGTCTGAGTCTCAAACAGAGCACAGAAGTCCTCATTTTCAGTGAGTTAAATGAATCAGTAATAGAAGAAGTATTGTTATATAGTTCTTTTGGAAAAACATCTCCCCAAAGTTGTGGATGTTTAAGAAAAGGCACATTAAAATGACAAACAAATTGCTTAAGGCAGCATGAAACTGTAAGCAAGGAAACATAATATTTACTTCTAAAGAAACATATGTCCAAGTGAATTGTGAGGCTTCCAAAGCTGCACTGAAATAAACATTCAAAGATGGCAGATTTAAAAAAATGTGGATCAGAATCCAAAAGCCACCAGCTGCTGTAAGTGTAAAAATGAAACCTCTGGAGGGAGTTGCCTCCTGTCCCATGTGACTGTGGCATGTGATGCCTATAGCAGCTACTGAACTGGTATTTGTGCCCACCACCCAGTCTGAGTAGGGCAGGTGTCTCATTGGCACAGTGCAGACCACCGTGGCATCACAAAAACTTACCAGAAGTAGGTCTTTGCCTAGTTCATCGATATCTGTCACAAACTTCTCAATTGGTTGGGCAGATTTTGCATGAAAAGCCTGCCTGGGAAGGGCAACATCTCTAGGCCAGTCTTCTTCTCCTGGGAGTCCAATTACGCTACAAAAGAACCACACATGGACATGAGCATTGGCTACTATGCAGAAGCTGTTTTCTCATCAATTTCCAGAGAAAGGTAAAGCCTAAGGGGCAGGCATGGGGGACAGAGTCCCAGGAGACCTTCACTTTATGACTGGCAGGGTCTCTGTTTAGCTCTGTCCTACTGCAATATGGTCATGAAGTAGAAGGTAATCTCATGGACGAATTATAAAACTTACTGGGAGGAGATAAGAGATTGCTCTGGTAGCAGATACAAAATGCAAGGGATGATGTAGAAATAGAAAATATATTACCAGGCAGTAAGCTGTGACTTAGTGACAAAGCAGGACTTACTGTATTCAGAGGAGATATCCATACCCGTATACATTTTCCTTTATGCTCAATAATGCTTTCTGTGTTTCAATGGAACACCCCAGTATTGACATGATTTTATGATGCTCGTCCAACATGGTTTATTAATGTATCAATTTGGTTGCATTTTTGGTTAATTATTCCCCAGTTATTAAGTATATACATTAGAATCAGAAGGAAAAATGAAGCGAAAAGGTGTGTTAGTCCTGCATTAAGCAAACACTATTTTATGAAAGTCTGTGGTATTCCAAAGTGAACAAACAATAAATTAAAAGACTATTATTTATATTTCCCCAGAAGACTATTCTGGGATCAGAAATATGGAAAGAATAGCAAGTGATAAAAAGCTCAGGTTTTGGAAATAGGCAGACTTGGGTTCAAATCTTGGATCTGCCATTTACTGACAGGTAAGGACAAATTACTAAACATCTATGACCCTTAGTGTCTTTATGTATATAATGATAATAATTTACAGTTGTAATGAGGATCAGCTATACTTTATTGAAATTTATAGTAATACATAAATTTATAAAGTACATAGCATAGCTATGTACCTGATACACATCACACATAGTCAATATCAATCAATACATTGCCAATTATTATAATTAGAAAATGTTGTTTTTAATCCAAGATGCATAGAAAATACATCACTACCACATTTAAAATATGAACTGCTTATATCCTATTTATGTATAATTTAAGATTCTTTAAAAATATTAATAGGTCAACATAACTTATGCATTATATGGATATTATTTGTAGTTTACATATAGGTCATAAGTAGGTTTGACAGAGAAAATCAGAGGATGCAGGGACTTATTTCTCACAAAGACTACATAACTCTGAACTAAAAAAAAAAACACACCATAGTTTAGTGGATAGGACATATAGCTATTCAAATACTGGACCAAATAATTTTAACTACAGTTAGAAATTGTGCTGGCCCACATTAGGGTCTTCTGCTTGGCCTATACTTGCTGGGACTAAGGTCCAGGAAGAGGTGTTCTTATGAATGTACTTCCGGATTGCAGGAAGACGTACTACAGGTCTCAAGATTTATAGGACTTCATCCCCTTCCCTCAGCTACACAGAGCCCAGACTACAGACTTCAGCTGGGAAGAGCAGATACCCCTGTCACCATGGCTTCTCTGCCTGGGTGTCTGGGGAAGACACTGTAATTCTGCCTCTATCAGGCATCCTGAGAGAGCTACATTACTGAGGCAAAGACAGACTCATGGACATATTTACTAGAACCAATAAACAGAAATGACAATGAGCAATATATAGATTTGTCCAATAGTAAGGTCTACAATAGAAGTAAAAAGAAAACAAAAATCCCATTATTAATTATGAAAACAAATCCACATGTAAGTGTCTGGATACAATGGGACAGGGTAGAGGAGGGAATGAAGGATGTTTGTTAGATATCTTTCAACATTTTCTTTCATTCCTTTTTAGTTTTTAGCTATCTGTATATCAATATTTTTGTGTATATTCACCAGTCACCTAGAAATTGATTGTATTAATAACAACTCCTAGAAATATTTAAAATCTTTTTATTTGTGGCTTTGAATATATCTACATTGAGTTAAATCTTGCAAGCATATGATCACCTGACTGCCAAAAGCCTTCAGAGAATAGCACGTCTCTGCATGTATGTGTGTATATATACACACGACTCTAGACAAATTTATATAAAATTTTAAACAAACACATAACAATTTATATATATATAAAACCTTAAGTCTATCCCCTCCTCTGATTCCTGTAACAATCTCCTAAGACATATAGGTCAGGTGTATTAGTCTCATTTCATAGATGGGTAAACTGAGAATGAGGAATGAAATGAACTGACAAAGTCACAGATAGCGAGTTCAGTCACAGAGCCCAGAGTGAGCTCAGTTCTATTCCAGTATTTTATTTCCATTTAACTATGACATTGTTCTTAAAAATGCTCTAAAATGTCACAGGCTAAAACTATTGTTTCACTTTTAATACTTGCTATTACTTGAAGGCTTAAATCCTCCTAAACACAGAAATGTTTTTCCCTTTAAGAGTATGTGAACATTGGCCAGGCGGGTGGCTCATGCCTGTAATCCTAGCAGTTTGGGAGGCTGAGGCAGGAGGACCACTTGAGCCCAGGAGTTCAAGACCAGCCTGGGCAACATGGTGAAGCCTCGTCTCTACAAAAACTACAAAAATTAGCCGGCCATGGTGTCCTGAGCCTGTAGTCCCAGCTACTTGGGAGGCTGAGATAGGAGGATTACCCGAGCTTGGGAGGCCAAGGCTTCCGTGAACCAAGATTGCGCCACCGCATTCCAGCCTGGACAACAGGGCAAGACCTTGTCTCAAAAAAAAAAAAAAAAAAAAAAGTGAATATGGCTTTCCTTAAAAAAATTTGGTTTTATGTCTACTATAAACTTTTATGGCCCATGTATTTGTTGTGAAATTCTGATAGATCCATTAAAAAATGCTTGCATTTAATTCCACTATTTGAATAGCTGAATATAAGCCTTAAAAGTTGACATTTATACTGGCAAGCCTGACAGGGCACGAAAATCTATAAATGGCAGTGATGGTGGAGACAGAGTATTTTTTTAAATACCCCAGCAGTGACACTAGGGTGCAGCATTGACCCTCTACTCTGGCAAGGTAATGCATTCAAAGGAAATAGAACATCATTTTGATGAAACAATGCCAGAAACCACAAAGTAATATCTAAAGGCACAAACCATAGAACTCGACAGCTTCTTTTCTATTGGCAACCTATGATGTCAGGCCTTTGCCAAAAGTAGAACTGGCTTTTCCTCGGAAGCAAGTCAAACATGCCGATCAAATGTTCCTTCTGGTCCATTTCATGGGCCTCATGTACTAAGGGGGCACTAACAGTGTTAACAAGATAGCAGACATCAGTGCTGGAGGTAGACACAGCGGTCAGGTAGTAGAAATAAGGGAAAGAAGGTGATGGCCTTCAAGGCCTGGCAAGCTGCCTTCAGTCAAGATTCTCTTTCCTTTCAACAGAAGGTCACCAGCATGTCTGATTTCCCTGGTTTCTTCTTTAAGATCACATGCACACAAAATATATTCAACAGTCATGGGGGAAAATAGATGGGAGTTTATCACTGAGTGATTAAAGAACTTGCCATTCAGAAGCAGGGGTAACATGGAGGCTTTGTGTTGAATGTATCCACAGTACAGAGTAGTCAGTAGTAGGAGCAGTAGCATCAGCTGCCCTGGACCCAGGAAGCCCCCAAGCATAAAAAACTAGCAAATGTTATTCAGGCCTTAAAGCTATTAGGTTCTGACTCAGCAGTAGCACTGGCACTAACAGAAGTCTAGCTGCTTCTAGTCACCAACCAACAAAATCAGGTTCCAGTTTTATTAACTGTTTTAAGCAGTGATGCTTGAGCAGATAGTGCTGAAATGCAAATGTGTTCTTTAGGGGTACTTTTTTTTTTCTTTTTTTAAAGAATCTTACAGACTTCGAATTTCACAAAAATCACCGAGATTCCTATAAAATGTCACAGACCAATGATTAGGGCTATTTTTGGTCTAGAACTCCCACCTTCTTCCTACTCCACTCCAATTCTTTTTTTTCTTTTTCTTTTTACCAGTTGAAGATGCTGAAAACTCCACTCCAATTCTGATGGGCCTCACAAATCCAAAAGCCCAAAAAAGGATGCCATACTGCATGCTTTGTGAGAAGTGCCCCAGTTACATTCTAGAAACATTAATGCATACATGCCCTTACATGCATGAACATGCAGACATGAATGAAACTACATAGATCATCAAGGAGCTATGTAACTGAAACCAAAGAATCTGAGCATAAGAAAGGATCTTATGGAGAATTCAAGTCAGAGTTTCATTTCTCAGATGAAGTGAAGGAACAAAAAGGTTAAATAATTAATGATGAACTCTAACAATAACAATAACAGAGAACATTTTTAAAGTGCTTACCTATGTGCCGGGCACTGTGTAAGCCCTTCACAGGGTGTTTTAAAGGACTTTCTCAAAGTTGCTGAGTTATTTTGCCAAAGACTTAGGGTTTTCATTTCCTATTTTGGTGCTCCAAAGAAAAATGAGATGTGTAGCAAACCATCCCTGGCCCAGGAAAACAAAACAATGCAGAACCAACCTGCGTGACCGAGGATACTCAGTGGGGACAGGAAGCTCACTGGACAAGGATGGGATGGGTACGTGGCCACCAGGAGTCCTAACTCTGACGGTGGCTGCATTTGAAATGATCACAAGCAGAGAATGTACTTGAACTAAAGAGCTGGAGCTCAGCCACGCGAACAAAGAGAAGCAGCAAAAAGATCCACCACACAAGCAACATACAAGCTAGCAGAGCAGAGCAGTTAGGGCTCTGCATAAAACAGCGTTTCTACCATGTCTCCACTCACCACACAAATAGTAACGCTGTCTGCAGCAGCTGCTTGAAGTAAGAAAGACAAGAGATAAATATATGATATGAACGTCAGGGAAAGCCACTGTAAATGTTTTAATGCTACGGACACTGATATAAAATTATAGTTATTACTTACTCCAAGATTTTTCCTAGTTGATCGACATCTGAACTTCCACGAAAAAGAGGCCTAAAAGAATAAAGACACATTTTAAACAAGAAATGTTCTCAGATTACATTTTAATCATATTTGCCATTATGATTATTTAACAGGAAGTAAAATATTCTTTATGGGTTAGGAAGAAGTGAAAAATGGAGACATTTTTCCTTTGGTAAGTGAAAGTTTTCCCTGCATTTCCCTTATGGTTAAGGATCTTTCATGAATATCTGGTGGTACATGAATTCTGTTTTACAATCATGCGTATTCTATTTGCAGTCATTGTAACAACAGTGCTACTGTTAAATTCAGTTCCAGGTTTCAAAGATCTGCTTAACTTTGTGATAGGGTGGAACATACCACTGTCCTATTCTTGAACCACGAATAGGTGGGATTCTTTGAAACTTCTCAGAAGTTTCCATACTACTCCGCTATCAGAGTACTTCCTTGTGGGTATCTCGCCTTCCATTTGTCCTCAATGCTGTAGTGAACTACCTCTGGGTCTATTTTTCTAATTATACCACTTTCCTTCCTCCCAGTATTATGGCAGCTAACTATTACCAGTTCTAAATCTTAACTCTGGGCTTTAGTGGCAATTGTGTCCAGTTTGAACATACAGCCTTCCTTGTCTACACTGAGTGTTTAACTGGCAATTAAAAAAGGTCATTTTGTGACATTTCTGGCATTTCCCCAAGAAGATCAAGTAGCCCCATGAGGGAGAGACTTCTTGAGGTTTTCCTATAAATCCCTGCCATAGAGCTTTACTCTGACACATGTATAGTTACTAAATATTTTATTTGATTTTTCATATCCCTATGGTACACAAGTAAATGTTCCCTAACTCCTTCCTCAACAAATGCCATAAACAGGTAATTTTTCAACATTAATATATTAAAAATACTTGTAGCCTATTATTAGGTACCATATTTCTTTTTATATTATCTATCAATGTATAGAGCCTTAACTTGACCTCTTAAATATTTTCTGTGCATAATAAATGAACTCACTATATATGGTCATCTATGGAGAATCCTGCAGTCACAGTATTTCAGTGGTTAGAACACACCTTCACGTTTGTCAACCATACCTTCTATTCATGTTACTATGTCTGCAAATAATTATTTCCAAATGCAGTGGAAAAGAATTTACTTATGACAAAGTGATGGGGTAAATGATTTCCCCCCAAATTCATGTTGAAGTCCAACTACCAGGATCTCTGAATTTAACTGTATTTGGAGATAGAATCTTTAAATAAGTAATTCAATTAAAATAAGATAGGACGAGCCCTAATCCAATCTGACTGTTTTCCTTGTAAGAAGAGGCTATTTGTTGATCACGAGGTCAAGAGATCCAGACCGTCCTGGTCAACATGGTGAAATCCTGTCTCTACTAAAAATACAAAAAAATTAGCTGGGCGTGGTGGCGTGCACCTGTAGTCCCAACTACCCGGAAGGCTGAGGCAGGAGAATTGCTTGAACCCAGGAGGTGGAGGTTGCAGGGAGCTGAGATTGCGCCACTGCACTCCAGCCTGGTGCCTGGCGCCTGGTGGCAGAGTGAGACACTGCCTAAAACAAAACAAAACGAAACAAAAAAACTAGAGGCTATTTGGACACAAAGAGATATCAGGGGTGCACATGCACACAAAGAAATGAACATGTGAGAACCATGAGAAGACAAGCCTAAAAGAGAGCCCTCAGAAGAAACCAAACCTGCTGATACCTTGGACTTCCATCCTCTAGAACTATGAGAAAATAAGCTTTGTTGTTTAAGCAATCCAGTCTGGCATTTTGTTGTAGCAGTCTTATAAAATTAATATAAGCCACTTGCAAATCAGTAATGCAGCCAAATTCATAAAGAATCACAAAGTTGGGTTCTAAAAGACATCTGGATGGGTCTTAAAGGATGACAAGGTGAGAATTCGAAGTTTTTTTCCCAAAAGTTCCAAAAAAAAAGTCAAAAAATGGAATCTAAACAACTATAATTTATTGAGCATGAATGTTGTATCTGGCCTAGTGCCCAGTGCCCCAAATATAATCTCACTTAATTCTCACAAAAATTCCAGGAGAAATGTAGTAGTACAATCAACCCTACTTTCAGATGAGGAAACTGAGTACTGTAGATGTTATATGACTTAATTAAGGGCACAATATTCCCATCTCCCTTTATTCCTTTTTAGTTACATTTGTACAGTGACATGTTGATTTTTCAAGATTTTTTTTTTACTGGGGAAAGGGACTATTTGGCAATGGACTGTCCTGGGAGTGAATCTCTACTTAGCTGTTTCTTCCTATATGATCTTAGGAAAGTCTCTTAATTTCTTTGACGTAGGTGCTTCATTTGTAAAATGGAAAAATCATATTGCTTCATAGGATCAACTAAGTGAGGTTATGAATATATCTCGCCTACTAGAATGCCCAGCTTACAGCACAGTTACAATTAAGTGGTAACTACACACACACACGCGCGCGCGCACACACATACACACACACACACACACACACACACACACAAATCTCTCTTCTTCCTGGCCAATATTATATAATCACATAAAGTATTTCACATGGTGAATTAGAAAGGAAGGGACCATTTACCACCATGTGGTGAGGTCCAAGTCACATTAAAGTCTAACAGTCTTTCCTCTGGGGTCACTATATATTGCTTACATGTTACAGTTCTTACAACTTTATCAAGAAAAGAATTTTCTAAAAAGTGAATGCCAAATTTTTCAATAAGGATTAATTAATTCTAAATTGGCAATATCACTTCCTGTATGCAGTTTCGCAAACTACAACAACAACAACAAAGTATTAAAGTCTATCAGTGAGATAAATTTTCTCAGGTCAAATTATCATGGGATTAAGTTACAGATTATATGTCTTTTTAAACAAACAACTCAAAAACACATACATATCATTTGTAATCTCAGTAACAGTGGCAAACAGCATTTAGAAGTTGGGTATGTTTTTTAACAGATGAGAAGTGTATACTGATATGTCTGTTACAGAAAGGAAATGATTCATGCATAATGGGGGATGAAAGATTTCATTTAGTTACAATACTTTCATTGTACTCAAAAGACAAGGAAGTCAAGGGTTAACCTATAGAACACCTTTGTAACCTGCATTTGACCTGCAGCTATGCTTTGCTATTTTTGATTAGTAGAAGAATTTTCTATGTTCATAAAGTGATCTTTCAAAAAAATATTACTGGGGAAATTATATTATTTTATACTCATTCCCACATTCCATTCAAGAGTTGTTATCAGTTAAGCTAAAATTGTTAACTTATCACCTTACAATTACTACGTATTGAAATAACTGGATTAAACAGAAAATCAATTAACTGATCTGCTTAGTAAACACTAATTGACTGATCACCCACTAAGCATATATGGCTGTAAATGGTGCTGGGAGTTACTAAAAAATACATATATATATAGAAAATATAAATTATGTTGAAAAGTATATAATTATAATGTATATAATATACATATAATGTAATAGTCATAGACATATAACATGTATTTATACATTAATAACAGGAGGCAAGGAGACAAGATATACAAATGCAGAATCAATGAATAGAAGTTTACCTCATTTTACCAGTGGGAGACAGAAGTCTCGGTAATCATTTCACCTTAATAGAATGTTAGGAGGTGGTTTGATTAACCTCCTTTTACAGATGAGAAGTAAAGTAACATCTAAGGAAACACAGATGAGTAAGTGGCTAAGCTGATCTGTCTGATTCCAGTGAACAGCAATATAGAAGAAGTGTTTTAGAAGGATTAATTTGGCAGGGCTTTACTGAGTCAATAAGAGGGGATGGAACCAAGCCAAGAAGGTCAACTGGGAAGTCCATGTACAAGTGAGATGACAAGGGCCTAAATGAGGTGGGACAAGGAAATGGCTAGGGATTCAAAGACATTTAAAAGAAGATGATCAGAACTTGATGGAAGTCTGAACATGACTTGAAAAGAGAAGCATGATTTTAAGTTTGTATTATATTATTAGTAAAGTCAGGCAGAATGAGATAGATGGAGGTGGTGGGGAGAGGAGATTAGAAGGTAACTAATTAGTTTTAAATATTTTCCTTTTATAATAAAATTATATAAAACATTTCACTAAAATTTGAGAATGAATAATATGCAAAAAAGGTAGTTAGGCATACTTATATATATAATATACCCAAGAGAATTAACATACAGGTCTACATCAAAACTTGTACATGAATGTTCACAGTTGCATTATTCATAATAGCCAAAAAGTAGAAACAATCCAAATGTCCATTGACTGATAAATGGATAAACAGAATGTGATAGAGACATACAATGGAGTATCATTGAGCCACATAAAAAGGATGAAGTACTGAGACAACACGGATGACCCTTGAAACCATTATGCTCAGTAAAAGAAGCCAGTCACAAAAGATCACTTATATTATGATTCCATTTATATAGACAATATAAATGTATAGGATCAGAAAGTAGATTGGTGGTTGCCGAGGACTAGGGAATTTGAGGGAACTAACTGTACACAGACTGAAGGTCTGCGCCCCTGAAAATTTCCTGTGTTGAAATCCTAATAATTAAGGCAATGGCATTAGGAAATGGGGCCTTTGGGAGGTGATTATATCATGAAAGGAATTAGTGCCCTTATAACAGAGACCCTAGAAGGCTCCCTTGCCCCCTTTGCCATATGAAGATACAGCAAGATGATTATCATCAATGAATGAGGAAATGGACCCTCACCAGATACTGGCTCTGACCTTGGACCTCCCAGCCTCCAGAACTGTGAGGAAGAACTTTTTGTTGTTTACAAGGCAATCCAGTTCATGGTATTTTGTTAGTAGCCCAAGCTGACTAATACAGACTGCTAATGGGTATGGTATTTCCTTTTGGGGAAATAAAAATGTTCTAAAATGGACTGTGGTGATAGTGGCACAACTCTGTGGATACACTAAACTGAAAAACACTGAATTGTACTATTTATATTGGTAAATTGTGTGGTATATCAATTATATTTTGATAGAGCCGT